GGATGTGTGCGTCGGTGATAGCGACGAGAAAGAGGAGGAGGACGAGGAGGAGGCCGCACTTGTACGGCGCACCATGATGCCTCTTGTTTTGCCCGCGGAGAACCACGGCTACGTTCCACACAACGTAATCCATTGGTGGAACGTGGACCTCACAAGAGGCGAGCCAGATCACACGAAGTGGCTTTCGCCCACCTCGCTTCTCGCTTCTCTCCTTACAACGGTTCGGGATCTGACCGGGCTTGAGGCAACGCGTGATGCACAGGACCCCGTTCTTCGAGAGGTGCCGTTGTACACCGCCACTTCGCTGCAGTTTGTTGAGCGTGTGTGCGTGCCCGTTCGCGGTACCGATGTTTCAGCCAGGAAAATTGAGGACGGGCCCCTTTTCCGGGAGCTTGAGGCTGGCGGCCACAGCACTGGCTTCTTTATTCATGTGCAGATAAGGATACGTGCCATCGCTAGGGCCGGGCAGGTACTGATGGCGAACGGCTGGGCCGAGGAGGAGGATGTGGCGGACCAGGAGGAAATGGCTAGGCGTGCCATGGAGGAGTTGGTAGCCACGACGGAGAAGTGGCTTCTCAGCCGCGAGGCGACCACCGGCGTGGCGGCTCTCCACGTGTTGCCATGGGTGAGTTGGCACCTCAACGAGGAGGAGGCCGGCACGGACGGAAGCACGCAGCACTGCTTCATTGTGGAGTACGCAGCTGCAGGGCCCGGAGACGGGCAGCCGCAGCCGTGTGCCAATGAAAGCAGTGTTACGGGGGAGGTCTCTAGCGTTTTTCGCGACTGGCGAGCCAACTTGACGGATGGCCTGCAGAGACTGTGTTGCGACGACGCCACTGCCCCTGACGAGACGACGCATGACGGAGCGTCCAATGCTCCACGCGGCGGCCTCAGGTTGGAGGAAAAACTTGAGGCGATGCTGGATGCTCTTGAGGCTGTAGAGTCGGAGCTGGTGGAGAGACAGAAACGGAACGAGGCGCACCAGGGACTACTTCAAGGCCACGTGGTTCACTGGCTTAGCGTGAGAGCTGCGCCCTCCGTGGAGAGGTGCATGGAGACTCTTCAGGGCGTGTGTGGCGGCGGAGACGTGTCCTCACAACAGATACACGAGTGGATATTGACCACTGTCTTCACAAGCGAGGGTGCGATGGCCTTGATGCCGGTTCGACGCATCTAATGTCAGGCGGATTTTCTTCCCTGAGACTACTCGATGCCTTTTCATTGATGGTTAGGGGGCCTGTTTGTTTTTCATTGTTACCTGTGTTTTATTTTTGGGGTTTTCACTGTTTCACCTCTCCAGCCTTGTTTGGGTTTGGTTTGTATTGAGTGTGGACGCAATGGACAGAGACATTTATTTTCACCAACAGCTGAGAGCGCGGGTCGTTGGATCTCTCACCATGTTCGAACGCCCCCACGCGTCATGCCGCAACCATTCCCTTTGTTGTTTCTATTCTTTGCTTGTCGCTAGAGTGATAGGGATTAGTGTAGCCAATGATGGTGTTGGAGCGCCCTGGGTCTATCTTTGCGGCGCTGAGAAGGAGGCGGAGGTGTGGAGTGGAGTGTGCCACGATGAGCTCAGCTGGTGCTGGGTGCGGGCTTCAAACCCGTAGGCGAGTTGGACTCGCAGCCGTTCGATTCGGCCTTTGTGGTGTTTTTTTTTCCGGCGAACTGCAGTCTGTCTTTTTAATTCTTTGTCCGTTGTGTTGTGCTGTAAGGCATATGTTTTTTTTTTTTTGTTGTTGTGTTGCGCTGTTTTGTGTTTTTTTAAGTCATGCTGTGCGTCTCTTTTTCTTTTCTTGTGGGTGGGGTGTATAGCGAAGAAAGGCGAGGAAAGGGAGCGTGCAGTGCGCTCGGATGCTTTTTAATGTCTCGGATCATTCCCGCGGTGCGACGCTGCCGTGGTGCGACGAACTGCTGGATCGCGTTGCGGCACGCAGATGGGGCTCTGCGGCTGTGATTGTAGAGCCCGGCGTGGCGCGCAGGCCGGCTGGTGCTGCGGTGGATTGCCCGCTTCTGCGGATTACGCGTGATGCGGCGCGAGCGATGTGCGCTGCTGCTGGTGACGGCTGGAAGCCCTCCAGCGTCTGTCACGGGATCCTTGCCAGACAGAATTGCTCTCCGTGTGACGATGCCCACACCCACCCCTTTGATTTTCTTTGTCCGATTGGCCGGGGCAACTTTGGTACGGTGCTACTTGTGCAGAGCCGGGTGCACCCAACGCGTTTTTTTGCAGCGAAGGGTGTGACGCGTCTCCTCGAGCCTTCCCCGTTTGCCGCGACGGAGCAGCGGGATGGAGACGAGGCCGCATTGGAGGCGTTGCGCCAGGTCTTCTCTGGCAAGAGGAGTGAACTTGTGTCGCGATTTCCTGCGCTGGGCGATTTTCTCCGTGAGGCGCAGGTGGCCGCCGCTCTTCCCCCCCATTCTCACATTGCACGGTCCCACGGTGTAGTCCTGTCACCGTGCGTCAGCAGGCGGGCGGAAGAAGTGGCTCCATTTCCACTGCAGTGCGCGTCACCACAAGCCGCCGTTGGCGCTTACATGCTGATGGACTTGGGTGCTGGTGGCACGCTTGGGGATTTTTTCCAGCGTCACGAAACGCACATTGCGGAGGAGCACCTGGTGTGTTGGCTCGGGCAGTTGCTCAGGGGCCTGGCGTGCCTGCACAAGGGAGGGTTGATTCATCGCGACATCAAGCCATCGAACATCCTTGTGCGTCGGCGTGCTTCTTTGGCATGGGAGAGTGACGTCGAGTTATTTTTTGTGGACTTTGGCATTGCCGCGCTGGTCGCGGATTCGAGCTGCGAAACTGAACTCACCGTCATTGGGTCTGGCGTGTACTGCCCGCCCGAAATTGCGAAATACTGGGGCTACCGCAAGCGTTGCCCGTATTCATACGCCTCCGACGTGTGGAGCACCGCAGCGGTGTTTTATTTGTTCCTCACATGCGGTGCTGCGGGTGTGGACGATGGCATGGCCGCCGTCTTTTCAACCAACGCCTCACCGTCTGCCGACGTTGCAGTGACGGCCCAGTTCCGTGTGGCGCGCGGAGAGTACCCGACGCTGGCGGTGCTGAAGCAGGTTCCTCTCTTGGACGACGAAGCCCTCCGTCTTGCCATGGAGAAGCTTGCGGCACGGCGTGCTGGCCACACTGCCGGAGGTGGTGCCGATGGGGAGCCTGAGGGAGTTGACTACACGCGGTACACGACCGTGGACGGCGAGGGCACACAAGCTTGTCCGTGTAAGGACACAGGTGTGTGGCCCGCCTGGGTCTTTTCTCCGGGCATCCAACTGATGGCAAGGCGCCTGCGTGTGAGGGAGCTCTCGTTGGAGTTCCTGAGCCTCATTGATTCCATGATGGCGGTGAACCCTGCGGATCGTCCGACGGCGGAAGCCGTGCTGCTGGACTCGCCCGTGTTTGGAATGCGGATGCCGTGGTGGGAGAAGGTGGTGGAGAAGGCCGTGCGGCGCGTTGTGGAGGGCAAAGAGAATGTGCTGCTGGATGTGTGCGTCGGTGATAGCGACGAGGAAGAGGAGGAGGACGAGGAGGAGGCCGCACTTGTACGGCGCACCATGATGCCTCTTGTTTTGCCCGCGGAGAACCACGGCTACGTTCCTCACAACGTAATCCATTGGTGGAACGTGGACCTCACAAGAGGCGAGCCAGATCACACGAAGTGGCTTTCGCCCACCTCGCTTCTCGCTTCTCTCCTTACAACGGTTCGGGATCTGACCGGGCTTGAGGCAACGCGTGATGCACAGGACCCCGTTCTTCGAGAGGTGCCGTTGTACACCGCCACTTCGCTGCAGTTTGTTGAGCGTGTGTGCGCGCCCGTTCGCGGTACCGATGTTTCAGCCAGGAAAATTGAGGACGGGCCCCTTTTCCGGGAGCTTGAGGCTGGCGGCCACAGCACTGGCTTCTTTATTCATGTGCAGATAAGGATACTTGCCATCGCTAGGGCCAGGCAGGTACTGATGGCGAACGGCTGGGCCGAGGAGGAGGATGTGGCGGACCAGGAGGAAATGGCTAGGCGTGCCATGGAGGAGTTGGTAGCCACGACGGAGAAGTGGCTTCTCAGCCGCGAGGCGACCACCGGTGTGGCGGCTCTCCACGTGTTGCCATGGGTGAGTTGGCACCTCAACGAGGAGGAGGCCGGCACGGACGGAAGCACGCAGCACTGCTTCATTGTGGAGTACGCAGCTGCAGGGCCCGGAGACGGGCAGCCGCAGCCGTGTGCCAATGAAAGCAGTGTTACGGGGGAGCTCTCTAGCGTTTTTCGCGACTGGCGAGCCAACTTGACGGATGGCCTGCAGAGACTGTGTTGCGACGACGCCACTGCCCCTGACGAGACGACGCATGACGGAGCGTCCAATGCTCCACGCGGCGGCCTCAGGTTGGAGGAAAAACTTGAGGCGGTGCTGGATGCTCTTGAGGCTGTAGAGTCGGAGCTGGTGGAGAGACAGAAACGGAACGAGGCGCACCAGGGACTACTTCAAGGCCACGTGGTTCACTGGCTTAGCGTGAGAGCTGCGCCCTCCGTGGAGAGGTGCATGGAGACTCTTCAGGGCGTGTGTGGCGGCGGAGACGTGTCCTCACAACAGATACACGAGTGGATATTGACCACTGTCTTCACAAGCGAGGGTGCGATGGCCTTGATGCCGGTTCGACGCATCTAATGTCAGGCGGATTTTCTTCCCTGAGACTACTCGATGCCTTTTCATTGATGGTTAGGGGGCCTGTTTGTTTTTCATTGTTACCTGTGTTTTATTTTTTGGGTTTTCACTGTTTCACCTCTCCAGCCTTGTTTGGGTTTGGTTTGTATTGAGTGTGGACGCAATGGACAGAGACATTTATTTTCACCAACAGCTGAGAGCGCGGGTCGTTGGATCTCTCACCATGTTCGAACGCCCCCACGCGTCATGCCGCAACCATTCCCTTTGTTGTTTCTATTCTTTGCTTGTCGCTAGAGTGATAGGGATTAGTGTAGCCAATGATGGTGTTGGAGCGCCCTGGGTCTATCTTTGCGGCGCTGAGAAGGAGGCGGAGGTGTGGAGTGGAGTGTGCCACGATGAGCTCAGCTGGTGCTGGGTGCGGGCTTCAAACCCGTAGGCGAGTTGGACTCGCAGCCGTTCGATTCGGCCTTTGTGGTGTTTTTTTTCCGGCGAACTGCAGTCTGTCTTTTTAATTCTTTGTCCGTTGTGTTGTGCTGTAAGGCGTATGTTTTTTTTTTTACGTTTTTTTTTTTTGTTGTGTATGTTTTTTTGTTTTTATTGTTAGAGGAGGAGTTATTTTTTGTTTGAGTTAGTGGAGACGACGGTGGTAGGGATGATTGTATTGAATGGAATTTCTGAGGAGCAAAAAAAACTTGCGGTGGTTGGGGCTGCTGCAGCCTTTTTTTCCTCTGCAGTTACCGCGGCGGTGGTGCGTGTGCTTTCGAGGCAGCCCTTGAAGGCTGTGGAGGAACCCCCACCTGTCGTAAAAGTGGCGACGGAGAAGAATAAATGTGCCAGCGAGGCCAGAGAGGAAAAGAAGGAAGGTAGTGAAATGTATAAAAGCGAGTTGTGCGCTCGTCAGTACATGGAATTCCATTACACCCCCTCTCGTACCAGCTATGCGCAACGACTTCGGACTATTAGCGAGAGTTTTGACTTCCCACAGAGGATGGCGCAGAAATTTAAGGAGTTTTTTCCAGAGGCGAAGAATGAGCAGACACGTGCGTTGGAAATTGGGTGTGCTACAGGTGCCTCTGTATTGGAGATGAGCAAATATTTTGACAGCGTTATCGGTGTTGACTACTCGGAGATTTTTATTCATTTTGCGCAGGAAGTTTTGAGGGAGAATTCTGTGCCTCATGTTTCTCGGGTATCATTTGGGGCGGTGGATCAGGGCGACATCGAGGTCACGCGTCATGTGCGTCTTTCACACGGACTTTTTCCGAAACGATGTCAGTTTTTTTGGGGTGATGCGATGAATCTTTTGGGAGGAGGAGGAGGCGCGAAGACAAATTTGGTGGGGAGACATTCCAGTCGTTATGACGATGTTTCATGGTATCAGGTGCCTGCGGGAGAGCTCTTTGATGGGGTGCTTGTGTCCAACATCCTCTGCCGTGTGTCGGACCCACGCAAGCTGCTGGACACACTCCCCCGGCTGCTCCGCAAAGGCGGCATCCTTGTGCTCGC